GTCTTTTTCACCAACTGCTGTGAAGGCATTTTTTTAAAACTCTCATTTCAGAATGAAACAGGGCAGAGTCACAGAGGTCACAGTGAGGAAGTGGAACCCAGTGCTGGATGGAAAAAGCCACAGGGAGGCCAGAAATAATGCACAAGAACTATTTTACAGGCAAAGCCAATGCGCGTCCCAACCAGATCTTAGGATTTATGACTTCCTAATCAGACTGTAGCACATATCTATCAGCCACCAGTAGTTTAATGCTTATAATTCGAATTGTGATTTCACAGCTTGTTCTAATTTGAATTTGAAAATTTTGAGAAAATCCAGGTTTTTGAAGAGTACAGATTAGCATTTCTTTCTCTTGCACATTATTTCCTAGTTTGAATCATTTGGAAGGAAACTGACCTTCCAATATTTACATACTAGGAAGTTGTAACAGTGCACAAACAAACAACCAAACAAACTTTACCAGCTCTCTAAGAGGACCAAAGCCTCACCCTCTGAATTTGGTGCTGTAGAGAGAGGCAGCCCCAGGGACACAGCTCACTTATCCCCTGAAGCTGCCTTATGGGGACCCCTCTCATCTAACTCCTGGCACCTGCTAGTGCAATGAATAAAACCATGGCAAACCCCACAGATGTGGTCGGGGAAACACAGGCCCCTGGCGCTGAACTGTCCACGCTTGCTCCACCCGGCCTGCCGGCCAGTGGTAAAAGACTGACACTGTATTTTATTAAGTAAGGCAGGCCAGCATAGATCTCCATTTGATAAACAAGAAAAAGGAAACTGACTTGACACTGCAGGATTGCTGAAGTAGTCAATGGAGTCAAAAGTGAATTTTGAATATGTATAGCTTCAGATTGTCTTGCATAAAACAGATTCAAATGAATGTGACCATCTAAAATATACTTGTATTTATAATGTTCTTTACATTTTTGCTATAAGAAAAAAATGACACCAACAACAGTATTGAGGCAGAATGGTCCAAAATTGGCTCTCTGTACTTTTGACTGTAGCTTCACATTTAAATGGCTGTGCTATTCTGTTTGGAATGGCTTAAAACCAGACATTCCTTACTGAAATTTTGACACCATCACAGCATCTTGGAGGCCCAGTATGTAGCAAGAGAAATTTCAGATTATGCCAGATGTAATGTGATATACATATGCACATGGCCTCTTGCGACATCCTAAGACAGTACGAATCACTTGTGACCAAGGCCAGGATTTTCAGTTCACATCTTCGTTTAAAACACGCACTTTGGAAGTCAATTAATCGGCTTTGAAGCCTAGCCTCCTCATTTAAGAGCAGGCTGGATTGGAGAGAATTACTTAAGTGTTCCAATTTCCTTACCTTTAACATGTGAATAATATTTTTCCTGCCTTACAGAGTTGTCACAATTAAAGAAAATATATGTTATCATCCCCGTTAAGAGGTACAGCTCACGGTTGGTGCTCTATGCATAGGCCAGCTGCTTTTGAATAACGAGTTCTACCTTACACGCTCTGACTTTCTGTGTCTTTTGTGATACTATCTCAGTTCCAGGCATTCTCTCGAGATTAAAGTGTACAGTTCTGCTTTGGCTATAGATCAAACAAGTGGAAAACTGTACGAGGGAAATTTGGGTATAATGCATAAGAAAGAGAGAACCAAGGGAAGAAATGCGGACTCTTCTTACCAACACAGATATTCAGTGGCTGAGGGACACATCATGGCTCACGGCGGAGTGGCACTCAGGACGCAGGCCCTCCACAGTGAAGAGGTGCTCAATGTAATTCACTAGAAAACTTCCAAGTTTGTACATTTCTCATTCCCCGTTAAGCAACAATTATCTATGCCCGTGAAAATGTATTATATCCATCGAAACTCAATATTTCATAAAATTAATAATTATAAACGCAAAACTATTACTAATTAATTAATTATTTTTTAAGAGAAGAGTTTGTGGGCATTGACCTAACTGCTTTCCACAGCAACAACAAAAACGTCCCAGCAACGGCAATCATGTTATTATTGTGTAGATTGATTCCAACACACCCACCTCCTAGTATGATACTCCAGCTGAAAAGGTCTCCCTAAAATTCAGGGGAAACTGGGAAAAGAAGGTCTCCCTCAAAAGTCCATTGTTGTGCAATACTCCGAGCCTTCCCATTTCTGGGGTGGGAAGTGGTGTGCCTGGGTGTATCTCTGAGGAGCTATCTAAGGACAGAGCTGGAGAAAGCTGAGACCCAGATTGCAAATGTCTGGGCTGTCCTTCCTGGCACAAGTATGTTTACAACTGGCTGTCTCTCAGGCAATGGCTGCAGCTGGATACAAGCCTAGAGCATTACAAATGACAGCGGGAATGGAGAAAGTTGTTTCCCATGAGGAGAATGAAGTTCAGAAGGCAAATGAATCTCCGAGAGAAACTTTCACATCTGTGCTATCTTGGAAACGTAGCATAATCCTATTCAGCAAATAGAAGGGTTCTCTCAGACCCCTCCTAGTGGCAGAGAATTCTGTAGGAAAAGAGCTGTCTTCAAAGAAAATATGTATAAGTATATGTCCCCACTAGGAAGAGCCTCAGAGCAAAGAAAACTTTCCCTGCAGTTAAAAAATATATTGTGAGTCTGCAAGAGGAAGAGAAGCCAGGCTTAACCAGGGAAACGAGTTTGCCTTCGTAGAGGAAAATATTTTTGACAACTAAATCTGCCCAAAAGTGGAATGGACTGGAGGTACTAAGCAAAGGCTAAAGAAACACTAGAAGGGTGGAGTAAGGGGATTTATGCCTTGGAAGTGAGTTGAGGTAGAAGCTTGATATTCTATAAAAATTTTGATCAAAGCCTGGAAAGCAGAATTCTGTCAATTCTAAAATAATATACAGAAAGCAACTGACCTGCTCTGCCTATTCTCCCTATAGTTCTACTCAAAAGGCTGCAGTAAACATGTGAGCCCAGCACCTGAACTGGGGACATTTGATGCCTCCAGAGACTGCAGGGAGAAGCTGGCCGGAGGGGAAGATGTAGACGATGTTAAGCCATACATCTATACATCTCCAGTGGCCTGGAAGCATGCTTGTTTCTTGGCTTTGTAGGGTCTTCCGTGGCTCATACAGCCCAGGCCTCCTTGGCTGCTCTGCAGACTTCCAGAGAGGTGGTCAGAAGGCTTTCCTCAGTCTGTAACTGTGACTCCCTTGCTCTCCCACTCCTAAATAGGATGGCTTTCATTAAAACTATGTCAAGCTCATGCTTAATCTTTGACCATGAGAAGAGCTGATGGCTTTTGCATCTAGATTTTCATTGCCGAATGCCCTCACTCCTTTCTCCACTTAGCAAACTTAGAGTGACACTGTAACTCTCGTCCTTTGAACTCTTTCCTGGTCTTTTCAGAAATCCTGAATATTCTTTCAAATTTGTCTGTCTGTAGCACTCCAAATGGCTACTAAAGAACACACAACTAGGGGCTGGGGATTTAGCTGAGTGGTTCCACTGCCTGCCTTGCAAGCACAAGAACTCGAGTTCAATCCCCGCTACCAAAAAAAAAGAATACACAACCAGGACCAGCTACAAGGTTTGTGCAGCCCAGTGCAAAATGAAGACGAAGTGGAATCCTTTCTCAAATATTACTCAAAAACAGTGGCTCAGAGCGCCAGAGTAACTGTGGGGCCTGCAAAGCCCAGGCATTTGTAACTGCACAGATCACCTCTCCATGAAGCCAACCAACCACACTTACAACACTGTCATCGGATTCCTTGTTAAGTACTTGGTGTTGACTTTGAGTTACTAACCACCTACTGCCTTTTTACATTATTTTACTTGTATATAAATTTCTATTCCCTCCTATTCCTCTTTCCCTCTTCAGAGAGCTTTGACTCTTAAGACCCAAGATGCAAAAATAACATATGTGTTCACAGGCAGTGCTCTCTAAGAATACTGAGGAGTTTCTGGTACTCAAGTCTTGGAATATATACTATTTCTTTCTCTACTTTTAAACCTGAATCTATGACATTCCAGTGCATTGTGTAATTTTCTGTTTTCAGCAGTCAGGGAACTATGACGGATATGGCTCATCCTTTCTCTAGACTGTGTGCTTTTTGGTCTAATTAATACTATAACAAGCACAAACTGAGTAAATACTGTATACCAAGAAAATAAAAAGAGCTCGTGTGTTGTGCTTAATCTTCACAATGAGGTGTTATAGTAGTTGTTACTATTCCACCTTTCCAGATGACAAAAATTAGGTTCTAATACATCAAATAATTTTCTAAAAGTCTCACAGTTGTTTAATTTTGGAACCAAGATTTTCAGACTGAGTTTTTCCTGACACCTAAGGGCATGCTTTTCCACAAGTCCTTATTATTTTTGCTTCTTCCTTGTCCCACAGATTGCTTGGTAAATCATGTTCCCAATAACTCTTTAATAAGCAAGAAAACAAATGCAAGAAGGGAGTTATGTGTGAGTGTCCTCATCCAGCATCAGTTCAAAACCAACACATAACAGCCAATAATTATAAAGTCAAATTTTTATCTTTTGCCTCTCATCATGAAATTGAATTTGCCATTTACCTCTATGAAAACATTGGCAGATCTACCATTTATACAATTAATTTAGCATACCAATAATCTCCATTAATTTCATCACTTCATTTTTCACTGTGCATGTCTGGGCTGTCACTTTCAGATCAACAACAGCAGAAATATATATAATTTTCCCTCAACTAAGAAGTTATACAATGATAACTACTTTAATAAAGTCATTCTCAAATTATTGCTCTTCACCCAAGTATATTTGCAAAATGAATATGTAGATGGCATAAAAAAGATACAGGCTGAGACACCTTAAAAATGTAAAGTTTTAGCCATAATGCACAGTATTTAGGGAAGAGCCAGGAAGACAGAAGTAGGTAGAACAGTTTCCAGTTCTACATGGGACCTATCCAAACACAGTTTAAAGAGAGGAAATACACTTGCAGGTGAAAACAACAACAAAAAATTCCCTTATTTTTCCCTTATATGTGTCCAAATAACTCACCATAAATAAGATCTTACTGAGCAAACGACCAAGATTTCTGTTCCATGTACAGGTTAAGAGGCTAGAAAAAAAAAAAAGAAAAATAATTTAATCACAAAAGCTCCCAAACAATGCAAACAACATTAAGCACAGTAATTATAAGACAAACATTCCAGCAGTCTTCAGTTGATTGGGTGTGGGTGTACAGAAGTAAACCTACAGTTTGCCTGCTGGTGGGAGAATGGCTTGCATGCCAATGAGTGGTATTGCTGCTAATTATTAAAAACATTTTAAGAGTAATTAAAAATTAAATGCACCTGTAGGATGGCCCATAACAGTGGTGGTAACTGCTCAAATTTCCTTTATCAATCACACAGTAATCCTCAGGGACATGAAGAACCAGGTAACACCAAGTGGCAAAGCCACACCATTGTGCCCTTGGCTCCCTGTGGCAGGGGGACTGAGATTTACTTTTCTGCTCAGAAGTTTCTGAGTGGAAGTTACTAGGCCAAGCTAAAGGAAACAATAGCTGCGGGCCTGATCCTTTGCTTCTGACATTAGCTACATCCTCACTGCCACAAAATGCTGCTGAGAAAAGAAAGGAGGAAAGAGAAGCTGAAGCTCACCTGCACCTGAGAACCTATTTTCCCCTTAGAAGTTGGGCAAGGGAGAGCAGCTACAGATTCCAGAAAGGGAGGCTGGGGTCCTGGTCTTCCCGCCAGTACTGTAGGACCCGGTCACTTCACTAATCCTCTAACCTCAGCTTCTTTACTTTCAAAGAACAAGATGTCTTTGCTGGAATGAGAGTTTCCTTCCAGGGACTAAAAGCTGTGTGCTCACTAAACTCATATTCATATCTCATAAACGAGGAGAACTAGAGAAAATTGACTGAGTTTTTAATTCAGTTTTAGACTTTTCTAGCAGTTGTCTGCACACTAGACTCTCCTGGGGCCTTCGAAAAGGAAAATGCTAAGGCCCCTTTTCCTGACGCTTGGATTTGGTTGGTTGGAAGTGGGAGCAGGGTCTGGGCAGCTTGGTTAACTAAAGCTCTCCAGGTGTTTTAATGTGCTAGGGGTCACCAATGGCCATCTCAGGCTACATGTGTTAGATCACTAGTTCAGATGTTTAAAAAAATATGCTGGATTATGTATTTTTGTCCCCATTTTACAGATGAGGAATAATGTTAGGGGGTTAAATGTCTATCATAGCACAAATGCCTCAGAGGCCTGATGCAAGTCCAAAAGTCTTGGATCCAATATCTTGAGTTTTTTTGAACTTTAAAAATACTATCAATTTTGCAAAGTTTTTGACTGATTTCCTGCTATTTCTTCTTTTTGATTACTATTTGTGTTACCATAACACACGTCTTTACTTTCTTCAAACTCCCTTATAGTTCCCAGGTAAAGAGAGTAATATACAAAATTTGGAACATGAATTTGTCTGTTATTCCCATAAGGGATTCTTTAATAGACTAAAATAAAACACTGGAAGTACAAGAGCTGATACTGCGGAAAATCATAGCCAGGTGGGCACTTTCTGCAACTAACTGAACCCCAAAATTGTCTAAATTCAGGGAAGGAGACAATTACCAACTCCTACAGGACAACGCTGAAGGTGTACAAGTTGGTGGCAGGTGGAGGAGAGGAACATGGGAGGAACTTTTGTTTCTTTATTTTAAGGCTTTGTTCACATTTTGCTCCCTATGGCAGTCACTTCGGTTCCTGACGATTATCTCACTGGCCCAAGAACATTGTTACCACTTGTTTAGTTGTTGTTTCCCCTGGAAATACGTTATCTTTTCAAAAACTAAGCAGCAATTTATGTGGCACTGTAATTTTATTTACAATCTCGATCCTGTACAAAGCAAAGAAGGCAAAATCATGATCTGCCAATGTAGTAAGTCTGCTATCAGGAACATCACCATAGTCTGAGAAACAACAAGGGACAAAAGACACACCGATTGCAAAGCACTCACTATTCTTTTTTACCAGAAGTTTCGCCACCTACTTGTTCATATCCCTATTGTCAACTCCTTCACCTGAAAGCAAAAGGAACTGTATTTTTACTCCAACATAGAACTGGCAAACCCATATTTTGTTTCTGCTTGTTTTTTTCCCCTTCCGGTAACATCCGCCTGCCTTCTCTCTGACTCTCCCTGCCAAATATATCAGACTGTGGGAAGTTTGTGGATACACAATATTTTATGGGCAACCTTAAACTCAGGAGACAAAAAGGAGGCATCACACACACATGCACACACATGCCCACATATACACACACAGAGGCACACATGCACACGAGTGTATGGAGGAAGCGTGAGTGACTAAGACAGCACAGATTTGAGATAATTATTGGAGAGATGACAGAAAACATCACCACGATTTGTTTTGCCGGGTTGTCATTTCAAAGATAATGAAGAACTATTAAACCATTTTCTTTTTTTCTTAAGGATATTAAAAAATAAATGAAACGAATGCACAGATGCTAATTATAAACAATGATCATGATAAGTTTGGGTAGCTAGCTGTTTTATGTAACAGTCTAGAAATATCCATTAGGCAAACACATCACCCCTAGCTGGTGGCTGTGGAGACCCTGGCATTAGGTCAGAAGCTATGGTGCAGGGTCAGGATGGTGGTTTAACTCAGTTGGGGCCATTTTATTACCAATTTAACTGATGTTAAATTAGTGAGTATTTAAGTGTCACTAAATCAATTTAAGGCTCAGTTCACCAAAGTACCACTTCTTGCGACTAATGTTGTAGTGAAAGTGAAGCACTGCGTCCTCCTGATGCGGTGGTGCCTGCTGGAGGTGCTGCTGTCTTCTGGTCCACAGCAATGAAACTCACACCAGCAACAGTGGGCTGGCAGCAGTTGTCTGCTACCGGAGAAAAAGTAAAATAAGCTCGAGAACTTAGTATCCTGCTGTAGTTCATGGCAGTGAAACCATTTTATCATCCATTTTCACTGAATGAGACGTGATTTAGATTCCTAGATCATGGGCCAAATTAGTACAACCCATTCAATATTCATGGAAGGCCTTCGCTGTAAGATTACTGGATTAAACTCCTAACTTTTTGTTTCAGAGAAAAAAATTTTCCCCACAGCATGAGAAACACGATCAACTCCAAATTCAGAAAGATTTACAAATGCCACAACACTGTTATCTACCAGCGAACACATCATCTCTTTGTTTCGCAGGACACCGGGATGAATTATTCACGAGGCCCCATTTCACATGCCTAATGTGTCTGGTGGCAAAGTCCCCGCCTGCTCCGCCCGGAGCTCGGTGCTCCGGAGCGGTGCCATCCAGGGATGAGCCACACGCTCTGGAGTCACTGGGGCAGCGCCGCCAGTGCCGTGGCCTCAGCTGCGGAGACAGCTGTTTGCTTACCGTCTGTGATGGCAGAGATGTGTGTGGCTCCCCTGACAGCAGCCCCTCCCTGCACACCACACAGGGGCCGCACACACAAACGGCTTCCTTGCTGTGTGTTACAGACACACACACACACACACACACGCACGCACGCACCGCTCCACCACCGCCAACAAAGGGGTGAAAGGAGGCCTCTGACTCAGGCACCAGAGCGAGCGACAGAGACATTCTTTATTTTGCCTGAAAATCTATTGGAGCCACCTCTGAATGTTTCTGGTCGCTGATGTTTCAAAAGGTCTGAGCAGGTGCGAAGTCCAGCGTGATTTACCCTTGAGTTATTGCCTTATTTCCGCGCTCAGTAGATGGACTGATGTGCAAGCGTTCCACACACAGCAGAGACTGGTTTTTAAAATGCTTTGAAGGAATAGATGGCGGAGGGGAGCTTCTTTCGGACAGTAAGTCAGCCCCTCCACACAGGTCTGTACTCGTGATAGGTCTTTTTCACCTTGCCTGTTCCCTGTCTCTGGCTATCTACTGACACCAAACAGTGCACCCTGCACACTGTGAGCAGTGGCGGGATGAAAGAATTAAAGCTCAGGTGGCAAAGGGTCAAATGCTGGGCAAGAACCCGGATGGGACCCAGTGTTAGCCAGTCTGGTGGAGGGGGCTGCTGACAGGAGGGGCTTGGCGATCCGAATTCTGCTGTGAACCCGGGATCCTCTGTTTCACTTATGGACACCAAACTCACCTTCGTTTTATGAGGAATCACTCCTCCGGAGCTAGTGGATGTACTAGGATTCAATTATCTCAGGAAATTGGGAAAGATGCTTATAAGAAAAGTTCCACAGAACCTTGCTAGCCCATCTTGAATATTATTTATTACTTATGAGCAGTTCTAATTTTTTGAATCAGTCTTGGTGAACAAGGGCCAAACTGAGCCTTCGATTTGTTTGCAGAGATCAGATGTTGAATCTGTGCCGAACTCTCATTCTATCAGTGCAAGCGACATTTGCGTAGGGTCTGCGTAACCTCTTCTCCGACCAAACTCTAATTTGACATAATGCAGCGTAGAATGGCACCAGTCACTGGGCTTGCATCAGAAATGCATTTTATTTGGATTCAGTTCAGGCTCTTAACGAACTGGTTCCCGTAAATGCGGCAGATGGGAAGGAGGCGAATGGAAGTGTGTGGGGCCTCGCACCCCGCATCCACGGCTGCTCCTCTCTACCCAAGCCCTGCCCGAGTTAAATGGTTAGTTAGTTAGCTAATTACTTAGGCACATTCCAGCTGAAACTTTTCATTACAGTCAGCATATTGATCTCCCTGGTCCGCCACACGGAAGTTTGAAAAGCTACAGTCCAGCCAAAGCAATTAGATCCTTCCCTTCACCTTCTCTCTTCCTGATCAACGCACTGAATGTGGCCAGAAGATGGTCCAATGGCTCAGAAGCCTGGCAGAGCTGTAGCCAGACCTTCTTTGTCAAAGGTCAGTTAAAAATGCCAGTCGTACCATACACACAGCTCTCCATACAAGAATGTCACACAGTGCCCAAAGTGGTCGCTTAATACAAAATATCAATTTGATTTTCCTCAGGAGATTTGCTCTCCTTTTGCAATGCAAATATTTTCAAGTGTACTAAACACGTTTTAGCACCTCAACATAGGCACTAAAACTATTTGCATGCAAAATTACCCAGAGTAGGCAGAC